GCTATTAATAGGATAGATTGATGACCCTTAAAAAGCATTCTGTGTCAGCCAATACTTGCAATGTGAGTAGTACATATGTGTAAATGTGAATCACCTTCATTTACCTAATTCTCATTTGACACTAAACCTAATTGTATTCTTTCTGTAATCCAAACCCCAAACCTGGTAACTGACACTTAGATGAAACAAAACACAGGTGAATTCAAGCTGCATTAAACACTTAATTACACCCACAAATCAATGTAATATGTATACGAGTCAAAATCTGCTTAAGAGGGTCATTAAAAAACACTCCTTGCCTGGTAAAAAGTCTACGAATTTGCGACAGATGAATGTAATGCCAAACTCTGAGTAAGAGTTCACTTATTTAAGCCCCGAAACATCTGTTTTCAAAACCACATTGTTTGAGATTACAATTTACAACTTCAATGTCTGTCAAAAATAAAGTGCAAAATACACTGTAATATTCACAAGCAGAGGTCCAGCTTTAATTTACTTTACTTGAAAGCCCGCAGAACCAGATGTTTTGACTTTGTCATTGCTTTCTGAGAAAGAGGGCTTCAACATGCTGTCTGTCAGAGATGATAACCTAATCCAGAAGTATAAATTTATATAAATTTGTTCTTCACTGGCTGAAATTGAATCGGAATGATCAAGAAACTGAGTGAAATACATCAACCTACATGCAAAAGAGAATAAACGCCAATGCAAATGTAAAACTTGGTTCAGTGAACTGAACATTGTTCAATCTGTGTTGGTTTCTGACAGGAACAGAAAGTTGTAGCCTATGTTATATTTGAATGGACATTTTTTTATGCACAAACTGGCATTCTGACATTCCCAATTTAAATATTTTTCAATAATATTCTATTCTTAACTGATCTTTTTTCTCAAATTTTAGCAATAGAAGAACTGCTAATTAGTGATCTTGAGATGAGTCCTTGTACTCATTCGCTGATATGTTTTTGATTTTTCAAGATTTGGAAAGTTGTTTAAAAGATTAAGGCAATTATCAAAGTTTGATCAAATGTTTATTCCCAATAAAAGATGATCAATTTGTTACATTTAATTAATCGTGTGGGAGTACATTATTAAATTTTTGGAGCTTTGGTGTGTCAACTTTCTTCTTTTTTGTGTGTGTTTTAATAATTCAGTATTCAGCATAACTCGAAGGAAGTCCAGCAAATGTTATAATTTATTCAATAAAATATTTATATTTATTTATAAAAAGTAAAATACGAAACAAAAACAAACAAAACAAAATAACAAACCACTCATAATGGTCCTAAAACAGCCTTCATTTTCTTTATGGATTTTTGGGTAAAATATGAACCAGAAATGTTCCTGACAGGCTTTGTAAGAATCACCAACTAAAACTCTTTATGTTCAGTCAAACAAATCTATGCAAGAGCTGAGCTATACGAGTGACTGACTGTATGGGGTCTCATAAATGCAACTCATAATGTGCAGTGTCATAGGATGACATTCACGTCCTCATTCTTACTGTTCGACTATGAGTGAAACCGTATCAGATGACACTGCCTGTGGTGTTATTATTATTGCAAGGACACAGTTTCCAATGTGACACTCTTTCAAAGGTGGCTTCAGTTTCACACACAACTAAACACACATTTCTGGGTCATAATGCAAAAGCAGAAACCCTGCTTGTGCACCCTCTTAAAACATCTATGACATAACAATGACAGCGCCCCAAAACATCCAGCTAAAGAAACAGCAAGATCAGACAAAGCCTCATACTGAAAAGACCTGTTAGGTGCGGTGTAATACAGACATGGGTGGGGATAGCATTGATAATCACAGTTAGAAAGAATCGTATTACTTTGACACAAGGACAGTGCTGTTTAACTCATGCCCCAGCAAAAATAATAAAACAGGATTTCATAGGATATGAAATGTTTGGTACAATCTGTTCACAGTATCTTAACACCTGAGCTGATAACTTGCACAGAATCTGTCACTTTTCTTGTATAATAAATGACTGTCATACAGTCAATGTGAAATAAAAGAAAATTAGTACAAAGGATATTGGAAAGCACCATTAGTCAATAAATGTGAAACTATATGACAACCTGTAACTTATGCTCTGTCATACGGTTTAACTGTTAATTGTATAATACCCATCATTAACATTGTTGCAACTTGCACTGTCAGGCAAAATACAAGTCACCTCTCACACTATGTCTGCCACATAGTCAAAACTTTTGCATACAATTAAATAATAATTCTTCAAAAGTACCTATTCAAACCATGAGATGTGAAAACCTCAATGAACTTGTGTTATGATTCATTTAAATGCCTTTTAGTACCTGACAGTAAAGGTAGACTGGCACATATGGCAGTGCAACTGTTCATTTGATAGAATGTTTTGCGAACTTACAGTGAATGAACGCTGTTTGCTGTCTCAAGTTGTTGACGAATCCTCTCAATTATTTCTCAAATAGCACATCTGGAAGAATTGGAAATCGAAATGAAAACAAACGCTAAGCGCGGCGTCGCGGCAATTGTTTGTTTGAAGTGTTTTAACTCCGCCTTTCAATCCTCTTGAACTTGAAGTAGGACCACCTTTCTGAGCCATTCGAAGTTCAAATCATTTTAAAGAATCGACTCGTCCAAACGGTTCATTATAGTGAACAGATTCAAAAAAAAGAATCGTTTGAATCTTCACTTGTGATTAGGCATTAGGTGTTTTTGTGTTCTTTAAATGTTAGCTACATCATGCTATTTAGCATTGTATTATTTGTATATGTGGGTTGTTGTTGTTTGTGATTTCAGCATTTCACTTTAACTCTCGAAGTTAACGTTTTTGTGAAATGGTTCATAAAAGGGTGATTCTTAGACTATGGGCTCTTTTATGTTTTATGTTCTTTGGTTTCCTCTTTCTTTGTCAAACTAACAATAAAACTTTAAACCTTTTTATTACGATTTTTTCATACTTTTCAACCTCCTAATAGCCTAGGTGTCAAAATCATGTTTTCTCCTTGTCGCACACCCTTTTTAGACCCAGACAATGAAAAACGGTTTAAAAATAATACTTATCTGATAATAACTATTAATCTTCGTGAATTAAGCACTAGTAAAATAATTAAAATACATTAGGCTAAACACAGTCAATGCCCTCATCTGCTTTGGGACTAAGTGCACAGTCAATGCCCTCATCTGCTTTGTGACTCACTGCACAGTCAATACCCTCATCTGCTTTGGGACTCACTGCAGAGTCAATGCCCTCATCTGCTTTGGGACTACCTGAACACTCAATGTCTGAATCTGATTTGGTACTACCTGCACAGTCAGTGTCCCCATCTGCTTTGGGACTAACTGCACAGTCAATGCCCTCCTCTGCTTTGGGACTACCTGCATACTCAATGTCTGAATCTGATTTGGACTGCTTTGGGACTCACTGCACAGTCACAGTAATTTAATTGTAGTTCTCTTACGAGAGGTTCTCTCGTACTGCGTAATATCTTACTCTAGGGGAAAACCTCTTTTCCACAAGATATTGAAGCCAAAAACTATCTTTAATTTTGAATTAATTGTATTGTTTTTTTTTTAATGCAAAGGTATTTCATTTGTGAAGGCAAAGCATAATCACTATACTCCTAATTATACTAGCCTACTCCATAAGATTTACATAGGGTGTAAAATAATTTACCTATTTTATGGAAAATAGTTTTATACCCATTTTCAGCTAAAATAAGTGACAAAGCTTTACGTAAAATAAGTGACAAAAATTAAAAAAAAAAAAAAAAAGGTTCAGCCTCGTGGTGCCATCCCAAAGAGGCACAAAATCACTTTCACAGACCTTTACTTTGACTGTTCCAAGCTAGTGGAATGGGAATACCCTCCCATTTTCAGGAAATGGCTGGTAAAACATACAACCAGAAACCAGACAGCAGGTGGCAGTGTACAAACTGCAGAAGAGACCTTTGGTTGTCTCTTTGCGATGAGCTCTGCATTGTCTTTGGTGTCCTATCTGCAGCACGTATTAAGGTCAATGATATATATATACACATTAGTCTTTCTTGTAATCTTGAAGACATTGATCAACTGGTTCAGGTGTTAGGGTTGGAGCTAAACTCAGCAGATGCACTGAGTGACCCATCCCTACACTAAACTGATTTCTGTGCTGTATTGCATTACCAGGACACTGGACAGATGTGTCTGACAGACAAGAGGGCGAAAAAGGTTAATCTAAAAGTGTTTCCTTGAGCCATATCTTGTCTGTATAGCGTTCTTGGTGGCAAAGAACCTAGGTGGCTAAGGGATTCAGAAACCAACCCCATGTGGCACTTAATATAGCCTGTAACACTGACCCTGCAGAAGTTAGATTGTTTTGGTAACATAGTGAGAGTCAAACCCATAGGTCAAACCCAACCTCTGATCTCTGTTTAGTGGTTTGGAAACAGTGTAATCGGAGCCTCCTGTACAAAGCCCCCTGTAGGTTGTTTTGGCGAATGAAGCTGCTACAATGCTGCCAGGCCTGGTGAATTATTAATGATTTGTCTGGTTAGTTAGTAGAAAAATGTTGGCTGTTATTTACAGCACATTTCTTATCTTAATACTGCATTTGTTTTGCTCAACAGCTAAACCTGTCATTCACACAGCAATAAAATAATGCAAATCCAGATAATGGGCTTTATGCACAGCTCCACTACTTCCTGAACTTAAGCCAGCTCCTTGTTTCCTGTCTTCCATTATTGGGCAAACTTAATTAATTCAGGTGTGTCTGATTATTGTTGCCATGACTACTGAGGTCAGGCACACCTGAATTAATCAATTTGTCCAATAATGGCAGACAGGAAACAAGGAGCTGGCTTAAGTTCAGGAAGTAGTGCAGCTGTGCACAAAGCCAAATAAATAAGAAAAATTCAATTGCATGTAAGACGCTTTAATGGTAGTAATACATATAAGCTAGTTTGATACACTTTATGATAATGTATGTAACCGAAAGCGTGGCATTCTCATCCAGGCCACAGAGAGGCAATAAAGAGCCACTGCAGTGCACATTGAAATTTTGAAAAGCAAAATCCAAGAAAGTTGTGAAAAGAGCAGATTTGTAAGAGTTGTTCCCTGCTTGTTCCTTTTAAAAGTAAGTTTGACATTTCATTTTTTTCAATAAACAGACGTAAAACATTAAACATTCGATAATATTTCCGATGAAGTGTTTTCTAAACTTTCTGTCTTTCTGCATAAAGGATTTAGGGTAACGTTACACTGGGGCTAAGTTACCATTTATGGAAAATCTGTTTGTTTATGGTCCTAAGATTAAACAACATGTTATTTTTTTTTAATTATTATTATTGATGCATGAACAATAGAGATGCAGTTCTAAAATCGTATGTTCTTCTTAGATCTCAGGGATTTAAATCATAGTATCATATTCACCGACAGTTTTGATGTATCATGTGACAGCCTAACGTATAAGGTTGAGTGTCAATGCTGATTCAAAGTATCGAAATAGCTTGTTGTTACCGTTTGCCGAATACAACATTTTTATATTTGACCACTTCCGTCAATAGGCGAATGGGCTGATAATAATAACTGTGATAATTAGAAAACAGTTTTAGCAGGGTTATTACTAATCACATTTAGCAATTTGACAGTACAGTTTTGATTACTAAGTTAGTCCATTACAATGAACATCATACAATCTATTTAGTAAATGCACCTCTTCAGTTTTATGAGTTATCTTTACAGTCATCCCTCAGCTTTATATTAAAATGAATAAATAAAAAAAGTAGCATTAAAAAAGTAGTTATTTGATTAGTTAATAGTGAAGTACCATCATCTATGCACTATTACTTACTAGTTTGTTTCTTGTTAGTTAATAATAGTTACTAGATTGTTAATGTTGTGTTACTTATTGGTTCTAGTTATTCATTTTAACAAAGGAACCATATTCTAAAGTGTCCCATTAACCAATTAATTTTTTAAGCTAATAAACCATTTACGCATGTTTGATTTTTTTTTTATTATTATTTACGTAGAATTATGTTATATTTTAAGACTTAATTTCAAGTTTTTTTATTCTATTTTATATATACTTGGTGGCACTAAAAAAAAAACAGTCTTTTGTCCTAAAGTTCATGTGACTGTTCTTCTCATTAGCATAAATCAACATCTGCATCATTTGTTATGTTAAATCAATTGCATGTTAAATCAAAGTACCCTAAATAAAGATGGATCAGAAAGGTACAGTTGTTTTGAGACTATTGCAAATCTGTTTTTCATTATTTATTTGTTTTTACTACAGAGTGATTCAGTGATCTATGGAGTTCCCAAAGCTGCCCCCTCACTCCGGGTCTGTTTTATCAGTAGTAGACATGCACACAGGTGGAGAGCCGCTGCGCATTATCCTGAGCGGGTTTCCAGAAGTGAAGGGGGACACCATCCTTGCCAAACGACGCTATGTGAGAGAGCATCTCGATCATCTTCGCAAGGTCTTAATGTTTGAGCCCCGTGGTCACTACGATATGTACGGAGCCCTTCTGGTCAGAAGTGAGTTAGCAGAAGCTGATCTCGGCATCTTGTTCATGCACAATGAAGGGTATAGCACCATGTGTGGCCACGCTGTCATTGCGCTCGGGCGCTTTGCAGTGGATTATGGTTTGATTAAAGAGCCCACTTCACCCGAGACGCAGATAAACATACACTGCCCCTGTGGCTTAGTGAAGGCCTTTACACAATATTCCAACGGGAAAACCGGAGCTGTGAGATTTCTCAGTGTGCCAGCCTTTGCTTTCGCTACAGGTAACAACTACTGTATGATCAGAGCAATGCGATCATAAAATAAATTTCAAGTTTGAATTATATTATTATATTAGCCGATTCATTTATTTGCCATCCTTGTTTCTCTAGATGTGAGTGTCTCTGTACCAGGATATGAGTCCATCACTGTGGACATCAGTTATGGTGGAGCTCTTTATGCTTTTGTAAGTGCTGAGAAGTTTGGATTGGATGTCAACAAGTCCAAAATCAGAGATTTGGTGGATGCAGCGACTGCTGTGAGTGATGCTGTCAAATCCCAGGTAACTGGCCCAGTTTTGTTACTCTTAACTAAGGCTAAAAATGAAAACTGAAAAAATGTGAACCGGTCAAATTAATCCAATCACATCAACGTTCATGCGAGCTTTAGCATATCATCATTACTATGCTGCGGGGAACATGGTTTGTGTAACATTAGCAACACATTATTATCCGTTTGATAACAGTCAACCCAAAGGTTAATCATATTAATTACTGTTATGTGTCGGACGTTGTAGAGAGCTATACATAAATTGCATTACCATTCTGGAATAGTAGAGCCTGTATAATTCACTCTTCCACCACTTCTTCTGAATCAGTTTCTGCTTCAAACATATACGTCTGAATTAAACCAGTATTTCAACTTGGCATTGTGCCGTGTTTATTACAGTAAAGTTCTTTTATCAATAATTTATTAATTTCCGATTTTGAACAGGACCTTATTTGATTCTTTAATTACATCTTTTAAGATACACAAGCCTACTTTATTCCACATTGTGTTTTATTAATCAATTAGCATAATTTGTTGGGACTAATTATTGTAATGACCCTAGGTAAAGCTGCACCATCCAGTCAGTGAGGATCTCGCCTTCCTCTACGGCACAATCATTACCGACGGCAAAGATGCTTATTCTGAAGAGCCCACGACCAATGTGTGTGTGTTTGCTGATGCGCAGGTAAAACCAGTTGTGACCGGCTGACATGTTTATCAATCAATACACAGGTGACAGGAAGTTCTGCTCTTCCAAGACTGTTCATCCTAAAATGAGATCAACTGGTCTTTTGCTCTTCAGTCTATGTGACCGATGTCTGTTATATGGCTTGTCAGGTGGATAGAAGCCCAACGGGGTCTGGCGTCACCGCTCGTATCGCTCTTCAGTACCATAAAGGCCTGATCGCACTGAACCAGGCCAGAAGCTTCAAGAGCGGAGCTACAGGATCAGTATTTACAGGAACAGCAGTAGAGGTACCTGTAACAAATAAAATGATGTTTTCATTTCTGTTAATTGTTGGAAATAAGTATAAAGAGGTAGAAAGTTTAGTCATTTGTAGAGTGTAGTCCTGATTCTTTAACAAAATCAGTCATTTGCAGCTGTTCTGTTGTTAAAGGAGACCATGTGTGGGGACTTCAGGGCTGTGGTAGTGGAGGTGAGAGGTCATGCTCACTACAGCGGTGTGGCCAGCTTCACCCAGGAGAGTGACGACCCCCTCAGTGGAGGCTTCCTTCTGTGCTGATTTAATCTTCTATCAATTTCTGCCTGATTTCAGGTACGGTTTCTGAGGTTGCGAGCACATCAATCTTCTGATGTAGATGTCTTGTAAAGGAAATCATCAAACCACTTTCAGATATTGAATAAATGTTGTGCTGTGTGACAGCTACAATTTCAATTTCCCTAAAATGGTACCACATAATCAGTTCTGGTTTAAATTATATTTTTGACATTGTTTGAACTGTGAATAATGGCCACCAGGAGGCATCGTCTGACTACATTTGATCCAGCAAAAACTGAATGAACAGTCTGGTGACAGTTTTTACTAAAAAAGTAGTGTCTCTGTTTTTGTAAATCATAAAACCCTATTGTGACTTAAATCGACAGCCTGTAACAGTAAGTACTTTTCAGATTCTTCCATTTATTCTCTTATGATTCATCTCACAATGGAAGGCTGAGTTTTCCTTAAAATTATAAAAGTCCAATGGAGGTATCTTGCAGTGAAAAAGGAAACTTTGTCATACAACTAGGCTGATCATAAAAAAACCAGGAGAGACTCCAGACAGGAAGGATGAATGTAAGGGAAGAAGAGTATTGCCTTGATCCGGTTACTTATGCCTCGTTCAGATTACACGATTTTAGCCCGATTTTGGCACGATCCGTTTGACGTAGGGTGTCGTGGGGATTCGTAAATGACAACGGGCGTCAGGACACAAGATTCGATCGTATCATCTCGTATAGTGTGTCATAGTGGGCGACAACCTACGTCGCATCTGCGATGCTTCACAACATCACGACAAAAAGACTAGCATGTATAATTTTTTTAACAGTCGTCCACGACGGTTCCGTCACGTATGAGGTTGACCAATAGGAGCACAGAAGCTTTTCCGTATACAACTTTCAAAAAAGTAAAAATATATAAGAAAACAATATTTTACCTCAAGTTCTCTTTGGAGGATTGACAGCCCATACTGTCCTCTTCGAGCAGGGTTCTCAAGTCTCACGCAATGGCCGTGAGACACACGCAATTCAACCAGTTCACACACTCACACGCCACACCGTGTATTTCTCACGCTGAAAAGACAATGCCGAGCAATCCAGGAAGTCACTCGTTACGAGTTTCGCCTTCTCAATGACATCACGCGCGCCGTTAAACACGGCATGTGATGACTGGTCAGGAAGTAACGTGTAGTCTGACATGTCTTGTCCATGACACGACAAGTTTTTAGGAGCCAAAATCGCATAATCTGACACAGTGACTATCGTAACAGACAAAAAAAATCGTGTAATCTGAACCAGGCATTACAGATCATTTTAAATATGACTACATTTCACATCCTCAAGCAGAGAGTCCAACACTTGACATCAGAAACTGCATAGAGTCTGTACAATAACTGTCCACAGTGTTTAAGACACAACATGGGCACCGAAGGCCCCTAAAAATCACATTTAAAAAAAAATCATTCCCAGTCAGCCTGTACCGGATTTCACAATGCAGTCAACTTTCTGAAATAAGCAACCCACAGCCCTGGTTATTGATGTCAGTAATATTCCTTAAAAACAACACTCTCTATATGTATGAAAGAAAACAGCCTTAGTAGAAAGGGCAAAACCCTCATTTAAAGGGGTACAGTCAATTTACAGCTTTTCAGTGACCTATATACAGACACTTGTCATTAAACCTCTTTAAATAACCATCCGTTCCCACTTTGAGAAAAAAGCAGTCAGAAAAGCAAGAAATGGAGTAGTTTACATACAGTAGCCGTCAAGAGCCGTTGACGCTTCTGATGATTTGATTTGTTACAGTAAGAAAAAAAGTGGTCGACAAGAATTGCAAGTTTATGTGGTCAAATGAACGCGAGCTACTGACTCATAACCAATCAGTAAACTCACATTTATCTCAATCTCTGATAATAATCCTGGTGCTCCAGCACACTTGATGAAATGAATCATTAAATTAGGTTCATTTGGCAGCCATATTCTTAAGTTCTCTGCATTTAGACAGGTTGGCCATTACGGTCACATGACGCAACATAAACGGACTGTCTTTGGGTAAGCATGGTTTCCTCCGCTACCAGTGATGTTGTTTAATATGAGGAGAGGAGCTAATGGGTGTCCTCCAGACATTCACCACTGCAAGGAGGCTATTTGGTTGCAATGAACTGCGTCTCAGTGGTTGATCAGCATGACCGCCATTTAGAAGTTAAGCTTGGTAATTGGACGCTCCCTGCCGGTGTCTGATGTCTGGCTGTTTATGCGTTTGCGATTGCGCTTCATCTTTGACAGGTCTTTATCAAAAACCTCTCCAGAACGCAAAGCGGACACCAGATCGTCAAACTCTCCCCCGTCGTCCTCTCCGTTCTCTTTGGCTTTTCGAGCCTTCCTTTCTTTTTCCCTCTGCTCTTTGAGCTGAAATACATCAAAAAGAGGACATATTTTGCAGTAAATGGGTGAAGAATGAAGAAATGAGATGAGTTAAGTTGTTTGGCTTGAGCAGAGGCCGTCAGTTCTTAAATATAGTTCAAGTTCAAAGTTTATTGCCATTTGCACAGGTACGTTTCAGTACAGGTACATTGGAATTCTTGTGCGTTTCTCAGAGTCAGGTTTTAAATAAATAAAATAAAATAACATGAAACTATAAATCTCACATCACAATTTAACATACCGAGGACTGTAAGAAAAATCTAACTAGATAAATACACATTATAGTAAATGGTAATAATATAGCACATACAAAAATAGAAACTCTAAAAATTTAAATATATATATATATACACACTAATCATTATAAAATTTAAAAACATGGAATAGGATACTTTTTGCCCTCCTTAATATCCTGTGCCACTAGCCTAACAGTGGCTGGAAAAAAGCTATTACATAGACGGGCCTTGTGGGTACTGATGCTCACAGGCCTACGATGTCTCAAGTTATAGCCTGTAAATATATATAGACACACAGGCTATTTTATTAGGTACACCTGTTCAACTGCCATTAACAATTTAACATGGCTGCAACTCAATGCATTTAGGCAGGCAGGCATGGTCAAGACAATCTGAAATTCAAACTGGGCATCAGAATGGGGGAGAAATGTGATTGAAGTTGACTTTGAACGTGGTATGGTTGTTGGTGCCAGACGCCTGGATGTGTATATCAGAAACTGATGATCTACTGGGATTGTCACGCACAACCATCTCTAGGGTTTAAAGAGAATGGACTGAAAAAAAGAAAATATCCGGCGAGCGCCAGTTCTTTGGGCAAAAATGCCTTGTTGATGCCAGAGGTTAAAGGAAATGGCGAGACTGGGTTGAGCTCATAAAAAAACAACAGTAACTCAAATAGTATTATATCATTACAACCAAGGTCTGCAGTAGAGAATCTGGGCTACAGCAGCAGAAGACACACCTGTCAGCTAAGAACAGGAAACTAATGGCGCTTTTCCACTACACAGTACCAGCTCGACTCGACGCGACTCGGCTTTGTTTGGTTTTCCACTGTGCAAGTTGTATCTGTACCTGCTTTCGGGTACTTTTTTAGTATCACCTCCGGCGAGGTTCTGAGCGAGCTAAGTCGGTACTAAAATGTGACGTGAAAACAATGCCGACTGCTGATTGGTCAGAGAAAATCGTCACCATTCACTGTGTCATCAATGCACGCGCCAGATGGAGTATCCAGAATATCCCCGCCATTTTTAAATAGTTTGGCCAGAGATACTTGCAACTATTATTATTATGGCAACTCGGAAGAATACGCCGTGGTCAAACGAGGAGGTGCAGACTTTCCTTTGTTTGGTTGCCGAAGAGAGGATCCAGTGAGGAACGAAAGGCGTCGCTATGACGACCAGGTAATATTTGTGGCAGTACTGTCTGCAGTGGAAAACGGAGCGAAAAGCGAGCCGAGTCGAGGTGAGCTGGTACTGGTAATGGATAAGCGCTCTAAGGCTACAATTCGCAGCGGCTTACCAAAATTGGACAATAGTAGATTGAAAAATGCATGGTCCGATGAGTCTCAATTTCTGCTGTGGGATATTCTGTTTGCAAACTTTGGTCCAATTGAGCATTGTTGAAATGCCACAACCTACCTGGCTCAATCAGCTTAAATCACTTCAAACTGGTTTCTTAAACATGACAATGAGTTCACTAAACTCAAATGGCCTCCACATTCACAAGATTTCAGTCCAATAAATCAAATTTGGGATTTGGTGGAATGGGAAATTTGCATCATGAATGTGCAGAAACTGAGTGATGCGATCATGTCAATATGGAGCAACATCTGAGGAATGTTCCCTGCATCTTATTGAATATATGCCATGAAAAATGAAGACAAAAGGGATCCAACACGGTATTAGCTCGGTATACCTAATAAAGTGGCCGGTGAGTATATTTATTTAAAACTTAATGTATAATGTTCACAGACCTGAGCCTCCATTCGTGCCCTGCGCTCCTCCTCCTCTTTACGTCGGCGCATGTTCTCGTTCTCCTGACGTGCATCTGCAAACGACTGCAAGAACTGGTCGAATATCCCAAAGAACTCGTCAGGCTGCATCTTATCAGCATCCTCACCGAAGTGCTTGACTGCCTTTAAGAACTGGTGAACAGAAGCACTGGTCATATGAAAGCCATTATCTGCTCTCTTTACTTTCAGAGTAGTGACATGAACATGAATCCCTCAAGAAAATCCTGAAAACACTTAAACACTCAAGGCACAAACCTACTCTTTTCTTGCAACATATTTTTGTGGACAGTTTTTAAAATAATAGCTAAAATGACTAGCTTGTTACTGCTCAATAATGCAGCTGAGAGACCATTTTCTAGTAAACAAAAATATATATATATATTTATAAGACATTTTTTAAAAGTAACGTATTAAATAATTTGCACTTGACTGAATGTTGCTAAATAATGTTACAATAGCACAGTGATATGTACAGCACTGTTTTCAACAACATATTCAATTGATCACAAAATGCCATATTTTTACTTTTGTCATTAAAATCAATGAATGTAAGATGTAGTGACAACAGAGTAGTCAAGCGGCAAACCCTTTTTACACTGCTAAAAAGGGCAAACCAAGAGGAAAAACAAAGAGCAGTGTAATGGGCAAACAGTAGCATAAGAAACTGTGGGGGTCTAATGAAGTTCCAGTGAATGAACTGTGTGACGCACTGCTAGTTATCCGGTCACCGGTAGCACAGCATAAAGTGGTCTTGTTAACCAAGGTTTCTCCAGCGACTGATTACAGCCTAAACACAGGGGACTGGAGTCTTGCCATGGCACTGCTGTTGCCTCGTGCCGTCTCACCACAGGGGAGGAGGCCTAGCCTTTCCACAATGCCTTTGATGTGCCTTTATCACTGCCATATGGAACAGCTCCTCCGTGGGCCTGTACGTGCACATTTTTATTTCTCCTTTGCCCTGCTTTTACATCTCTTCTTATCGGTCTCAGACTTCAGGCAGGAGGCCTAGGTTATGTTGGAGGTAAAGATGTTCTACTGTTGAGTGCATATGGCATGTTATTGTGCATTTACATGCATGACCTTTCTATCAAATGCAGTTCATACATAGGCATAAAATAAATATGTCAACTGTCATGATGGAATAATCAATACAAAAGAAAACTATTTCACTGCTACTTAATATTTGAAAAAAATTAACTTTTGTCCAATGTGACTAACATGGAGGTGAAAAATCCCCCAAAACAAAACAGAAAATGATATCATAGACGACCCCTGCATACCCTCATGGCTGTATATAAAGCTCATTTTAAAATGTCAAATGATTTGCAGTGTTGTTATTGTTAACTACAACTGTTAATAATTTTTAAATGAATCTGTAATAAAGATATTAGTGATTTTAAAATGTCAAAAGGAATTAAAAAAAAGTAACCTTGGCAACTAACTGAAATAATTTAAGTTGAGTAACTAAATTACTGAAAGTGAAAACTAAATAAAAATAAAAAAAGATATGACAAAAACACATAAGATTACTAAAATGTAAACTAAACCTAAAACTAAATTGTTGAAGTATAAAACCCCATTCAAATCATTAATTATTACTCCAATAGTATATAAATAATAGTAAAATAACTGAGTTGTTATTATCCTGGTGTTTTGTCAAGGCAAGGTTAATTCAGGTTGTCAAGTGGTGTGACTCCCCAAAAACTTGATGAAAATAATATCTATACATTATTAGTGAATGATTATTGAAAAAGAAATGTATGTATGTTATATAATATAATAATAAAATAAAAATAATAAAAACTTTTAAAGTGGGCTGTCCAATTTATCCAAGATTTTCACAGGATTGACAATCCTGTCAATAAACGCACAATATCATGAATTTTCTGCATTTTGGCTTTCAAAAACCTTGACATTTCATATATTTGTTTCCCCTCCCAGGACTGGAAGATAATATAAGGTGGGTGTGTGTGTGCCTCCCTCTGCACAGATGGAGCTTGCGAAAGCAGTAACAGTTGTATGTCCTTTTCCTCCTCGATGTCCTGTAGGGCCGCCAGGGGCCAGTGAAAGTGCCTGGGTCACTACATAGGAAGCGTTCACAGTAAGAGGTTGAAGGTCAGCTCCTGCGCACTGCAGGACATCCAGGGTAACTTCAGCCTGTTTCTCCAGCTGGCCTTTGAAAGAAGCTCAGCTGCTCCAGGATGTGCATCTTAAAGATAAACACACAAACAAACACATGCAGTCCCGCACACACGAACACACACTCACCAGTTCTTTGGCCTCGCTGAGGGAGTCCTCGACATCAGAGAAGCTGAAACTGGCCACTGTGATGAACTGGCTGACTACAGACACAAACTTATCCCCAAACTGCTGAGGACTCTTCTTCTGGTATTCTAACTCCTGCATGAGAGAAAGCCTGTGTAGATGATTTGCTTTTAAGCTTGTGAACAATGAGGATTAATGCAGCACTTACACTCTCTACGCTCTTCAAGCCACTGCGAAGATTATTGATCTCCTTCTCCAGTTCAGTCATGCTAGAAAAAATAAATCACACAAACTTTTTATTTAATGTGTAGTCAAGAATGCATCCTCTAAGGGGAGAGTGGGTAAAGCTGCACCACTTTTGACTTAACTAGGTAAGGAAAATTAGATGTAAACTAATATTTTAGTTAGGATGTCTGCTATAAACCGAAATGTACATAACGAGCATGACATATGATGGTATATATATATATATATATATAATATATAAAAGAAAATCCAATGACAGCTGATTAAGGGTTAGTTGTGCCATGTCAAGCGGTAAGTTGAATAATTGAGCAAAATGTGAACAATATCATCCATTCCAAAGCTTTATTTTGCAGCACATTTTAATATATTCAGTAAAATAAGTTGAATACCAATTTGTAATATTGTTTTTATTTAATGGTTAAACAATATGTGAGAAAGGTTACAATTATTATTATTAGTTAATGCAGCATCTGACAAACTTTACCCCACAGCATTCATGACAACTTCCAATCATTTAATCTTTTTTTAAGATTGTTATTTTAAAACAATCTTAAAATATACCAACTCATACCATATACCAAATATACCATATACCCATATTTTTATAAACGTTTTTAATTATTATATTTTATTTAAATTAAAGGTAAAAGTATTTTTAATTTTATTATTTTATATTACCATAAAATTCATTGTACTTGCCATATAAAATCACTTTAAAATTTAAACAATTCTATTAAATATGAATTAACACATATACTTTTTTAAATGAAACATTTTTAAATATTTTATACAAATGTGGCATTTTTTAGTTTAATCTTTTTCATATGTACATCTCTCAATCACAGTCAACTGCATATGATGGGCCCTTTTTAAATAAATGCTCATTAAACAGAAACAATTCAAAGTTTGCTATATTAAGGGGTGACAGATCGTACCCCATTCTCCCCTATGCCATATAACACAATTATATCCATATGCCAAACAGGCTAACCATTTTTAGCCTTTTTTTCCAAACCAGTGACACTGATAAGAACCACAGATATATAAATAGCAGCCATTCATCTGAACTTTAACCCATGTGATAGCACTAAAGTGACTCCATTAATAATATAATGTGTGTGAAAGGCTCTGTTTTGAGCTGATTTATTCATAGCTGCAGAAATGACCTCACTGTGGGACTGATTGTCTTCAATCTGTGCCGCCTTTATTCCTCCCTATACACAACAGACTGAACTATCAAAGTACACAGAGACATACTTGTGTGGTTATGGAAAAACCTGTCCACTCATTGTAGCTTGTGACCTATTTAACATATTATTTTTTATTTGTAGTCTGAATAAATGACACTGACTGATTTGCCTGAGGCAAACAAGAGTCCCTTTATTCAGAGATCACAGGCAGAATTAGTCTTGTGACTTCACTTGTGGACCGAGCATGATCACATTAGTCTCGCTGGCGCGACTAAAAACTAATTTAGTGGACATTCTACTGTACATTTGGACGGTCCCTTTAAGGCAAAGTAATGAAGAATGACTCAAAATTAGAAACTATCTTCCAAGGGGGAAAGTGTCACATCTTGGCCCATATTTGTTGGCACGCAAAACTCGAGAGGTCGTGGAGTGGCTCTGTAGTCACACTCTCTCTGCTATGCTGGCCATGTATCTCTCTTCCACTTATATATTTCACCACCTAGAGCCAGGGGAGTCGAGGGCCCCATTTCTTCCGACTATAATTTAGGGGTTTCCTCTGCATATGCGAGTAACCAAAAGCTTGTATGACCCACAGCATGGATTTAAGCCCAGTGGTGGGCGGGAGTGACACCGCAAAAACTATTTCCAAAATCCATTTAGCACAAGTAGACCCTACAGGCCTGTAAATCGTAAAGCTGACGAAAGAAGCGCACGCTATAGTCCATCCGCAGCTATACCTACTTGACTTTTGCAGCTTCCGGCACATTCTGCAGCTCCTCTGAGAAAAGCATGACTTTTGAGTACTTCTTTTCCAGAATAGTGATCAGGTAGTGTAGGAGAGTGATATTCCTGCAACGGGACAAAGGCGATAATACAAGTTTGACAAGTTTGAATATAAATAACTGTGTTCTTTATTCTTCCATAAACACAAAGATAGATTTTCTCACTTGTCAATACTGGACTTGGTGTCTGCAATCTTGTTGAGTGAAGAGATTTTGAAGCCGTATGCATTGCCTCTCTGTCCTTTGTTCATGTAGTTGCCAAACGCCAGCACCACCTCCAGCAGCTGCTTGAGATTCCGACTGTGCAGCACCTCTTTTGAGGCCTTGATCAGTGCTGCAAAGTGAAATACAAATAGTCACGCAAGGGGAAAAATAATCCTAAATGTTTCATGTTCATAAACTACTGGAACTATATATCTATGTGTATATATATATATATATATATATATATACACACACACACACACACACACACACACTATAAACTATATCTTTATTATAATTTAAATAGATTTGTATTATATATATATATATATATATATATATAAATTGATAATACCTATTGATAATACTTTATAATAATATTTTACAATGAACTGAAACTAAAAACAATAAAATGCATGAAACGTAATTTGTCATCACCTTATTTTTAACATTATAATTTGCATCTATTATGGTATTATACAGTTATTAATCTGAAAATTTGAATACAGTATTTTCTTAAAGGGATAGTTCACTTTGAAATACATTTTTGGTATGTTTTAGCTTAACTCAAGGGCATCCAAGATGTAGCTGTCTTTGTTTCCGCAGTAGTTTTAATTTTTATATTTTTAGGTCAAACTGTTCTTGTCTGTCAGTCATATAATGCAAATACACAAACAGTAATTATATTGTTTTTACCTCCTGTAACCACAGCCACAAAACACCCGCGCCCTCAGATCACTTGTAAGTGGCCAGAGGTAATAACGATATAAATACTGTTTGTTTTCTCACACAAACCGCTCATTTCGTGTCTTAGGCCATCAATGTGTACTTACATTAACGAGTCATTAAATCATGTTTAATTTGGACTTCTCTGTGCATGCTCTTTGAGGTGGTGACCATAGACCTCCATTATATGACTGACAGACAAGAACGGTTTGACCTAAAAATATCAAAATCGAAACTACTGTGGAAACAAAGACACCTACATCTTGCCCTTGCGGTAAGCTAAAACATACCAAAAATGTATTTCTGGTATGTTTTAAAAATGGGGCAGTTTAAAATAAATTTTAGAAAATGTAATCTACTAACATCCCAATGCAAATGCATTTAAAGAGCATATGAACACACCTTCAACTTTGGGTTTAATTTCTGCAATCCTTTCAGCAAACTTCTTCTTGAAGTACAAAGACTGTAACCTCTGCTGGTAATGGTTTATTCTGTTGGAAGGACAAAGAAAAGGATTGGGTCAGGGAAAAGGTAGAATACATCAAATATAAAAGCAAGGCCCATTAAAAAGTCTGCACACTACATCACCCATAATAGATTCTAAATGAGCTGGAGAACTTTATTGTCCCGCTCAGGACACGATAAAATGGATATGATCTGTATACACAGCATTAATGGTTCCACTGAATAAAGAACAAACAGCCTGAACCAGTGATCTGAAACTGACGCTGCTGTATTACATTCAGCACTCTTGTGCCGGGGACAATAACCTTGGTGAGCGCACTTGCCGAGAGACCAAACAGCCTAGGGACTAAAATCTGACAACCAAGTTGATTCTTTGAAAGATTTCTCTTCAATCCTCTATATTACAAACACATCAGCCACAGTGGAGTAAAATATTCACCAGGGTCTTATAAACAGAGGAAGAAAAAGCAAGCCAAGGCACCTGTGCTTTGTTTGGATTAGCTCCTCTGTTAGAAAGTGTAAGGCAGCTGCATAGCTACGGTGAGATTGTACTTATTTAGTTACAGCAAATATTGATGCTGAATAGGATCCTCAGACTGACCAGATCAATGTGTCACCCAGGATTCATAACCCTTTTCCTTCCTTCCTGCAGGAAATCGCATTTGCTCCTGACACTGTGTGTGGAAAAAACTAAACAGATCTGAATAAGTCACTGTACATTGGTGGGTGGCATTCATGGATCAGATATTCTTCACACACAATGTACTAGCCCAACATCATAAAAGAATCCATGGCAATCAGCAACGGGGCCTTTTTGGGTATCGGTCACTTCATGCGTTTTTTTAATGATGGGATATAGCTATCTGTTCTTTAAATCTCTTCCATTTACACATGACCACTTAACTGTGACACAAAATCAATATAAATCCAATCTTCAATTCCTGCGCTATGCAAATTTAACAGAATACAAGCAAAGACTATAGAATTACACAAGACTCCTCACTCGTATTGTTTTGAATGGGCAAAAGTATGGTGGCTCAATGGGCTGCCAATGAAGAAAACACATGCAAATAGAAAAACACCCGCAAATTAAGAAAACATCATCAATTTCACAACACGTGTGTGCTCCAAATACTCACAACACAACCAAATACAGAAACGCGCTGCAAATAGCACTGACCACAACCAAAATGTTTCCAGGGGACCCCAATAAGTGACGAACCAGGATAGGCCATGCTTATTTCTCAATGTCTACTTTTTATTTTATATTTTACTTTTTTTTTTCTTACAAAACATTCAGAGATTGTTTATGACATACAAAATACAAAATGTAGTGGAGTTAACAAAGAGCTGAACATTTTAAATAAAGTAGAAAAATATAGAGAAAAAGAAGAGGGTAAGATATCAATCTATACATCAGTAACATTGATTTTTTTTTTTAATTAAATTTTAAATAAAATAGAAAAATATAGAGAAAAAGAAAAGGGTAATATATCAATCTATACATCAGTAACATTGAATTTTTTTTAAAAAAATTTAAATTTTAAATAAAATAGAAAAATATAGAGAAAAGGAAGAGGGTAAGATATCAATCTATACAGCAGTAACATTGAATTTTTGTTGTTGTAATATTATGTTTAAATAAGTTTTATAGGTAAGACAGATAATGTAGTGTCCAAAGATGAGACAGCAATTTT